TTAAAACTTTAAGCCTTTGCATGGCTAAAAAGGGCTTGAACCTTAAAACTCTAACCTAATCCATACTCAACACCATCAAATTCTTGCATGGCTAGAAAAGGACCATCAATAAACCATTTTTATGAACCTATAAGACCTAACATGCAAGAAGGGACAACTAATACGCTCTAGAGTGCCCCAAACTCATAAAGGTCCAAACTTTGGGACAAAAAGCTCATAAAACCCCAACTATGGAGATAAAAGTGAAACACATCAATGTATAGACTTTATACCTTCAAAATATGCACAAAGAGGAGTAGTTTCTGGATCTATAAGCTTGCATGCAACACCTCCTTATTCAAGGGTGTTCTTCTTCACCCAATATGCACCAAAAGTCACTAATAAGCTCCAAACTCTCATAAACAAAGCTTAAACTCGAGATTAGGATTTTTGAGGGAAGGTGGCTGATATGGAATGTCCAAGGGAGCCATAATGTGCTTTAATTAGGGAAACAAACCCTTAAAATTAGGGTTTTGAGGTTGAGCTAGTATGCCCTGTGTACCTCATGTACGCCCAGCGTACTAGCAAGACTCCCCCAATCAGGTCACATGAGTACGTTGCGCGTACTCACACGTATGCCTCGCATATGAGATGAAATCCGGTTTTCACAAAAAGGGACCAAATATGCAAACTCAAATAGATTAAGGGCTAAAATGGAAATACCTGATATTTGGATGTTGCAACATAAAGTTTAGATCTTGAAAGTTTGTGACCTTGTTATGGATAAAGTTGGAAACTTTATCCATCTAAACATCATATTGATTCAAATCTGAATGTTGGGAGACTTGGACTTAATGGATTAAGTTGAGAAAGATGCATTTTTGGTCCCTTTGAGACTTAAAGACTATATCTTGGTTGTTTGGATCATCCTAATGGATAAAGTTGGAAACTTTATCCATTATGGAGCTATTAAGAACCATAAAAATGTGATATTGGTCCTTTATGTCCCTTCCATGCAAGATTCATGATGTCTTAATGGATTATTAAGTTAGGGTTTTAGCTTTTGGACCTTGTCTATCCATGGAAAGTCATAAAGGTGGAAACTTTATGACTTAGAATGATGTTATGGGTCTAGATATGAGTGATGGACGAAAAGACTTTAGGGATTAAGCACATAACATGAAAGATTGAAATCTCGCTAAGTACGTTGTGCGTACTTCTGATTACGCAGCGCATACTCCTTTGAGGCCCCGTTTTTGGATGAATGAGTACGCCATGCATACATGCTGAGTACAAGGCACGTATAAGTCTAGAGTTAACTTTTTGACTTTTGACCAAGTTTGACCTAGGGGTATTTTGGGATGTAGTATGAGATTTGTTCACTTTTTAATGTATAGGTGACATGTAGAGTTGGTATCGGAGCAGTGTGTTGTTCAGCTATTTTTTTTACTGTGAGGTGAGTTTTCCTCACTGTATTGGTACGTTGAAGGCACTAATGTCGTCCCAGTAGATTGTATATTTTGGTTTAGAATGTTGTTATGATATAGTGATATGTGTGAGATCTACATGATTATCTGTTGTTGTTATGTGTTTTATCTGTTATATGTGTCGACATAATGTGGTTGGGTTGAGACTGTATTGCTTTGTGCTGCCAGTCAACAAACACGGGCAATCCAACCAAAAGGTTGTGGGCCAAGGCAAACCAATCGGAAGGTTGAGGGTCATGGGTAATCCAACCAGGAGGTTGTGGACCCAATATGTGTTTTGTATATGTTCTGTTGTGTGGTATTTGGGGGAACTCACTAAGCTTTGGCTTACAATTTAAGTTTTATGATTCAGGTACTTCACATGATCGAGGAAAAGCAAAGGCGTGATCGTGCACATCCTTCTGATTTTATGATATTTGATTTTGGGATACTCTGACTCGTGATTTTTGCACTCGAGAACAATGTTTTGTAAACAATTATGATTTGTGGTTAGATTTTAAAAATGAAAATTTTACCATGGTTTTTAGGATGTTACAGCAGGGTGGCTGAGAGCCGGCAGTGGTAGTGGCTAGGAGCCGGTGACATTGTACCAGTAGCCGATATGTATGTTTGTATGTATGTTGTATGCTTACGGATAGGAGATTTGACAAATTGGCATTAATGTCGAGAATTTTATATGGATGCATTGTATGTATGATGGAATATGTGGTATACTGGGGAACTCACTAAACTTTATGCTAACAATTATGGATTAAACATTTTGCAGGTCGTTCGTGAGAAGAGCTCGGTGGAACTATACACACACACCGAAGATATTCGTTTCCACGGATTTGTAAACTTAACTTTGATAATGTATGGGTTTTTAATAAATTAAATGTTGTTTAATGGTTTTCGAAATAAAAGATTTAATTGGTTAGTCTATGTTATGAAGAAAAATATCTTCGTAATTTTTGGAACGTTATATTAATTATCATAACATTGATTTACTACGGGCGTGTTTGACACGAAGCGTTTGGGAGCTTCTAACTTTTGGTTTTTTTGACAAAACGCTCCAGTTTAAACAAAAAGTTTCGTTTGACAATACGAGCATTTAGTTTTTAGTTTAAACAAAACGCTCCAAATCTAAAAGCTACTTCATGTAGCGTTTAACAAAACGCTATTGAGCTTTTGAAAGCAATTTCTAGAATTGTCCTTAAAAAAATATTTATATATTTAATTTTTTTAAACAATTCTCTTTCTATGTAATTTTACATATTTCAAAAGTTTCCATCTACTTTTGTTAAACACTCATATAACAAATAGTAGTTACAGCTTTCACCTACCAGTTACCCGCTACAAGCCACCCGCTTCCAGCTACCTGCTACTAGCAGCTAACAGCTAATTTTGCTAAACACGCCATAAGTAGTTATTGTTGTTGTTAATTTTATACTATATCCAAGATACCAATATAAAATATGCAGCAAAATTTAAAGCATATTTCAGTAGCATATGTTTATTTGTGAATAAAAAAATGGTGAAATGTCTTTTTCAACAAATCTTGATTTATTATACTTCATTTTTTAAGCAGAGAAGCTACTGGGAGGTGTTAGGTGTATGTTTCCTAGGACTTGGAAGCCTAAAAAGGGTCATATATCACGAGTACCCATGAGCATCAGAGGTAATTAACCAAAAAAAACTCTATTTTGATATTATTTTGATGTTATCATGAATTGTTAGAGTGTTTTAATGAGATTTGATAATTTTATAGACGAGATCCTGATTGACGAAAGGAGAAATATTTGGAGCAAAGGGAAAAACTAAGAATTGGTGCTACTCCAAATAAGGGACATTTTCGTTCAAGTGCTCCATTTTCTAATTTATTTCGACGGATACATGATGGGGTTCTTCTTAAAGGGTTAACAACCTAAATGGGATGGTTCTCCCAATATGAGATGTGGCTACATACCTGGACCTAGGGACAAACGGGCCTCTAGTTTACATTCGTGTTTTTGCTCCTAATTCTCCTTGGATCGAATCAAGGTAGTCGAAGGGTATTTTGGATATTGCGATTATTTAGAGATGTTTTATGGCTTCTATGTACATGCTATGGTTTGGTGCTACTATGTTTCATTATTTGTGTTGCTAATTATCCTTGGGTCTGCATCCAAGTTGTTAGAGGGTATTATGATCCTTGTGGTGAATTGTAGATGTTTGTGGCTCTAATTCCAGTTTCTGCTTCTGGTCTGGTGCTGCATTCATTCTTTTACAAGTTAAATTTTTGTTGCACTAATATACTAATTATATTTTTAATAATTACCATCAAAATAACAACTTAATATTTTTGTAAAACAATCTACAATCAAAAACATCATGGGTAATGCTTATAAGTTAACATGGTTTTAGTTGATTTATAAAAATTTTAATAATTGAACTCTTAATATTAAATACATAACTTGGTTTTATATAAAAAAAATGGTTGATATATATAAAAGGGTATAAGACTAGATTACCAAATGAATGTATTATCTAGCTACAACAAGTATATCCACACAAGCGTAAATATATCTGCACAAAATACAATACCATGACATAGACTTATAGGTTTGTTTATCAATGTAGTTATTTAAAGTAGTGTCACTATCTACTTATTTAAAGTAGAAGGCTAATGTTGACAAATACTCCACATAAAACTATAATGCCTTTTGAATCTATCTTAGGTTATTATAGAAATGTACTTATTTAAGTAGTGCAACATTTACTTACATATTTTTTTTTTATCGTTCATAGTGTATGTACCGTTGTTTTCAATTATCGTACAAGGAAAAAAATGACACATTCAATTGGTTTTGTTATTAACATATAAATGTAGGAATAATATTGTATTTTTATTTATATTCCAAGTATATCGAAAAATCTACTAAATTTTGATTGTATCATAACATTGTACTTTCATATTTGTGTGTGATTCTTTGTGAGTGCTTCGGTGTGTTCTTCTATGTGTGTGTCTGTTTCTGGAAATAGCAATGACTATGTTTTCGTTATGTTATTTTATTTTTGTAACCGTGGTTCAATGGGCTATAACCTAGTACTAGTGGAATAAAATAAGGTAGCTTGCGCATCATGTTTTTATGTCTAAGATTGTGAACAAGATTTAGCTTAGATGATGAAACTTTATTATAAAAAAGCAACCAGGTGTTGCATGAACAACAAAGGTAGATGTAGATCTCCTCAAGCAAGACAAATGTATTTTGTACTGCAATTGTGTGTGCAAATTGAATAGATTTTTTATTAACTTTGTTGCAAATACAAGAGAGCTTCCGAGCCTCTTTTAATTTGTGTCATAAATGTTGCAAGAGCAAGACATCCAGATGAGGACAAACTAATTCAGGATAGGAATATCCGATTGAGTAATCCAGCTTGTTATTAATTGTAAGGTGATTCATTGCTATTATGTTGTATATAACAATAGAACAGAAAGTAGATTGTTATTATGTTATGTGTATAGAACTGAAATTACTACATAGCTATAGGTGAGTTGGGATATTTGAACAAGGGGTTAAGTTTCTTGAGGTCTGTGGGTTTGAAATAACCAATTCATAATTACCATCAATACCAATCTTCAAGACAACAAATAAAGAGAGTAATATATGATTTTGATGTCTTTTTCCAACAAACCTTCTATACTAAACACCATGCATTATATTAGAATTTAGAAACCATCCTCAGTCCTCACGACTCTTCAATCTGCAACCCTCAACCCCTCATCAATCACTCGTCACCATGGTCTTGAACTCCCTGCAATGCAATCACCGACTTTTACTTATGAAAACAAAACAAAATAAAGATTTGCACACGACTTTTCAACCTTTCTTTTCTTCTGTGAATATGTTCCACATTATATAATCATATAAAATGGATTTAACATATAAACCAAGGTAAATCTAAAATATCAAAACAACACTCTCACAAAAATTATATCTCAGTTAAAAATGTCAAAACTAACCTTGTTTGGTGTCTCTTCCTCTTCATCATCAAAATCTGTAGAATCTGTATCACTTTTGGAATAAGTGATCACAGAACACACACGCAACTTGGTCAAGGAGTCAACAACACCAAACTTCAATATATTATTTAAACAATATATATATATATATATATATAATATATATATATATATATATATATATATATATATATACACTTAAAGATTCTTCTAAGTTAGTAAAACAGCATGTATGTTTGACTTTGAGAAAAGGATATCGATAATCCCAATTTCTATCAGCTATGGCTGCAGAGAAGTGGACACTGCCATTGCTTAAACTGTGTGAGATCTGAAAATCTTTGTCAATAGTCAAACTCAAAACTTGTTCACGCCGCCTTTGAGGGTGAAGGCTTCCAGCTACCAGCCTTCTTCCATCAACTCTAAGGCGCAAATAAATTGTTTTGTTTTTGTCTACTCTCTCCGTATCTTCTTTAAGATAAGCCTGTGTACAAAGAATTTTAGTTACTTGTATTGTTATTTCTTAATGCAGCAAAATAAGCACATCGCGAGTTTTTACCTTTGTAAGAATCACAACTTTGTCTTCAGGAACTTTTACATAAAATGATTTGCCGCTTTTAACCTCGTAATCTAAATCAAAACAAAAAGAAAACAGTTTTAGGATGCAGATAGCAAGGTGCGTGTTCATATATATATATATATATATATATATATATATATATATATAATATATATATAATATATATATATATATAAAAAGCATCCAATATCCACAGGAACACATAAACAGAAAACATGTAAACAAATTTAAACGATATCAAAGCCAAAGAAGGTCCAAATTTTCATCAGAAAAAAACCCTAACGACATAAATGAAAAAGAAAACAGAAACAGCGCGTGTAGCTACTGAAATACTAGACATGAAAGAGATGAATCGTTACCCGGAAACGCTTCCATTGCAGGGAGATCGAGATTCGAGAGAAAGGGAGCAGCAGACAGAATGTGTATGAGCAGAGGAAACGTCTTTTTGGTATAGGCTTGGGCCTTTCAACGTCTCTTGGGCCTTTTAAGTGTACGAACCTTTCAAAAGATTAAAGAAAGGCACAAACCTTTGTGTCATTATAACCCGGCATGAAAAGAATAAAGAGCAAAATGCCATATCCAATTCAAAAGCCAAACAAAAAATAATCCATTTCGAATATCATAAATGTTTAACTTTTTAATAAGTAGGTCGTGTATTCAATCATGAAGATATACTAACTCGTTTTTTTCATAAAAAATATAAGAAAAAAAAAGAAGGTAAAATGGAGTTTGTCTTCCCCTACGCAACACAAAAGTTGTAGCATACATATTTGTATATAGTTAATCTAACACACAACAATGACTATATTCAGTGAAAATTGATCGGGTATTAGGACATACCAAACAAATTACACACAAACTTTATACCCCTACAAAACACAAATGTTGTATAGTTGTAAAGAAAGTAAAAACACCAACGATTTCCAACTTGAACAGTTTATTCACTATAAACCAGTTCGGGTGAACGACAATTTTTAAGTTTTACTTTGATGCTTCGGGTGAACCTTCATACCGATTCGAAATATTGCTTTGGATTTGAAACTTATTAGGCTGGAGGGTGTGGCTGCGGTTTGGGGCCGCGGTTTGTGCCACCTCAGCCGTGCACACCGCCCCCAGACTGCGGTTTTATGCGGTTTTGGCCGCACTATGGCTCTAGATGACCGCGACACGTGATTGGCTGGTGAAAGTTTGACCGTTGAACGATCCTTTTGCGCTTTAAATATATATATATATATATATATATATATATATATATATATATTATAGATATATATATATTCTTCCTTTTTGCCTTTCTTTCCTATATATACACAAACACTTTATTTTTTTTTTCACACAATACAAACCCTTCTCTCTCAAATTCTAAAAAAAAAATTACAAATTTCTCTCAAAGATGTCATCTTCTGAAGAATTTCATACTATTTTTTATGCCGCTGTTGCGTGTGCTCAAATGGCGGAACAAACATACGATGTTTTATGCAATAATGCAGCTGCAAGTTCTCAACGGAGAACACGAAGATATATTTTCAGAATTCGTGAAGAAGCCAACCAACGTTTGGTGCAAGACTATTTTCAAGAGAATGCTACTTATCAAGGGTATTATTTTCGTAGACGCTTCGGAATGTTCAAAGGTTTATACGAACATATAGTTGAAGATGTAACGAGGGAGTACAGTTTTTTTCAACAAGGCTACGATGCTAGAGGTACACCCGGTTTCACTCCCTTACAAAAATGCACGGCCGCATTTCATTAGTTAGCATATGGCATTCCGCCTGATGCGTTAGACGAAAGTTTTAGGATGTCTGTTAGGACCGCACGAGACAGTCTCCACTATTTCTGCAAAACTGTGATTCAGTTTTATGGTCCTAAATATTTACGTAAGCCTACACGTAATGACATCTTGCAATTGCAAGCTCATCATGCTAGTGTGCATGGGTTTCCTGGAATGTTAGGAAGCTTAGATTGTCTCCCATTGGGCATGAGAAAATTGCCCTACGTCATATCATGGGCAATTTACCCGATGTGATCATGGTCACCCAACGGTCATACTAGAAGCAGTTGCATCACAAGATCTGTGGATTTGACATGCTTTTTTTGGTTCTCCTGGTTCGGTTAACGACATCAACGTTCTTAATCGTTCACCTATATTTAACAACATATACGATGGATCAGCACCAGATTCTTCTTTTGAAGTGCGTGGAACGCCATATAATTATGGTTATTATCTGGTCGATGGAATCTATCCTGAGTATGCTGTGTTTGTTAAATCGTTTACGTGTCCACATGGTTCTAGACGAAAAAAATTCAAGAGAGCTCAAGAAAGAGCTAGGAAGGATGTTGAGTGTGCTTTTGGAGCTCTGAAGAAACGGTGGTTCATATTGAAAAAACCAGCAGTTAATTTAGGCGAGGAAAAACTTCAAGAAATCATGTATACATGTCTCATATTGCATAACATGATTATTGAAGACGAAGGAAGAGCGATATGTGCGTTTGACGAGGAAGAAACCATACCAGAGACACAACCAATAAAAATTGGTGGCGAAGAGTATATGACCAGGAGAGTAGAGATACGTTGCACTGAAACATTTCACAATCTTCGCAATGACTTGGTGGAACACATTTACGGGGTTCAAAACATTAACCTTAATTTGGATCCACCGGATGACTCCGAAGACGAGTTTCTCAGAGAACGACTTTATGTAGTTTGCTTTAGTTATTTTATTTGTGTTTTTTTTAAGTTTCTAGGATTATTTTAATGTCGTGTGTGTTTTTCGTTTTTTTTAATGCAATGTAATGTTTTTTTAATTTTCAATGTAATGTTTTTTTTTAAAATTTTCAAGTAATGAAAAATTATGTTTTTTTATTAAAAAATAAGTTTTAATTAAAATAGCTAAAAAAAGGAAAAAAAGTGTGGCACCACTCCCTTGCTGTGGCAAGAAACCACACTTGTGTGGTAAAAAATGACGTGACGCTTATGTGGCAGGGGAGGGATTGCGGTTTCGGTGGCACCACTCCCTCCAGTCTAACAATACTTGGGCGTCGTTTACTCTTTATGCCAAGTCACTGTGTATTATTTTTAATATTTTAATTTCTCAATCAATATATTACATAGATTTTAACCTAGTTATATTATTATAACAACAGTTGTACTAACAATATTTATTTATGTTTAGATGACATGGGTACATGACTATGATAGGTTTTTTTTTTAATATATTGCTTTAAAATAAAATAAAAATATAATATTAAATAAACAAACTTATAAAATATATTATCATTTCTTAAATTTCCATCTACAAACAACTACCAATGTGAAAAAAAATTCCAACCTCGTATTGATAAACTATGATCCATATAGATGTACACATAAATAAATAATTTACAAACTACCCTCTCAAGTAATATTCTCATAGTTTAATTTGTAAAGTTGATTTATTTGAGAATTGAGAATTCAAGATGTACGTATGTTGGTTGGACGTGGGCCTCATGTAGAGGGGTCGGCCGAGCCGGCTACCTGACACACAACACAACCCTCGTGTGTGCCGTGTTAACATGACAACATTTCCAGATTGCCTTTTTATCTCTTTAATCATGCCAATTTTTAAACCCCCAATTACCTTAAATTTGATCGAAAAAGATTTAAAAAAAGAAATAGTATTAATAAAAAACTCAAGAGTGGAATTTCTCATATATTACTTTATAAGAAATTAGATAACTACTTAAAATGAATTGAAGAGGAATTATGTTGCAGGCACAGATTCCGATGAAGATACGATAACAAAGACCTGGTTGCGGAGAGTGTTCACGTGGTGGCAGAACTGTAGCACCACCTGCACACCGGCGGGGCCCTTCCGTCCGTAGCTATATTTGATGCCATGAATAATTACTTTCTTTCTTCTTTTCCTACACACACGCCGACTATTGTCTGATGTTTGCTAAATGCTCTCTGTTGATTATTTAATACTATGTCTAAGGAGAAAATATATAAAGAAAATAAAGTTGGACATTTGTATCGAATGAACTATATAACAAAAAACAAAATTCAGATTAAGAGTTGAGTTTTTGGCAATACGTTAATGTTATTTGTGTATTAGTTTTGTACTTTTGTATATATATGTTAACTCATATTTTTTGTGGACGTTTTATTTGCAAAAGATTATTTTTCAGTTGGCGTATCATTCGTTAGAAATTCTTTTGGGCTGAAAGTTAATTTTGGTGGAGATTATTGCTTGATTGGAGTCTCATTTTGTAGGAGATCATCTGGCGTGAGACCATGCTGCTTCTTATGTCTGAGGTTAATCAGGTTATTCACATAAGACATTAAGACTGCGGACCTCTTACCTTATTTTTACCATATTTTTATGAAACTGGATTTGGTTTTTGTTTATACTAAGACCCGATATTGGAGGTTATTATTTAAAACTGAAATTAGAATTTTATGAAATTAAAGAAAATGGATAGATATGTAATTTTATTTTAGCATTTAATAATTAATTTTATTTGCCGTTCAAAAAAATTAATTTAATTTGTAACTGTTAAAAAACTTTTTATTTAAACTTGATTATTTGATATTTAAATTTTCTAATAATCATGAGGAGATATTATGTATTTGAGCATTATAACTTTATAATAACGTTATTATAAGTTCAAATCACAACAATTCAATTCAGCATCACATTCAAACATTTCTTTAATGAAGATAAAATAAAAGGAACTTGTGAAAAAATAAATAAATTTTTATAGCGGCAGATATTTTTAAAAAACAGACAAACTAAAAAGGCAGCAGTGAGAATTACAAAGTATTGGTACAAATGAAAATAAGATAACAACACCAAACATTCAAATTTAAGTAACTAAGATTAGCACAATGTTTAAACCATTTGTACGAGATAAGTGAATTTCATCCGCCGTGTTAAAAAAGGAGCACCTCAATTTTTTGAAAATAAAAGCATTCCAGGCTTTTCAAATCATATATATATTGACGAGTGAACGAACCCAAAATTTAGTTTCTTAAAATTTTGTCCTTAGACCATCACATGTCATTATGAGACGCATGCCCAATATACAAATATACACGTAGGGTGTAGGGAATGATGTTCAACCGATTGCAAAGCCATGTCCAAATAAATATACATCGAGAATAGACAACCAAAAAATAGATTATCAGGGCCTTCGTCAAAAGCCAAACAAAAAGGACAGATAGAAGCTAGATTCACCCATCTTATGATGAGATTTGTATCGATCGGGATTCTATTTAATATCATATGTCATACAAAACAATTGGTCTTTTATTGGAACCCAATTATTCAAACAAAAAGTGATATATACATCACTAATTCTAGTATTATTAATCAACTTTCTTAGCGATCCACCAGAAAAATACCATTAGTATCTTTTTTCCAATGCCACAAACACAACTTCAACCCTACAACTAGCATGTTTAGAGTGTGTAATTGAGTATTGTCATAGTCATTTCAGGGTTTTCTTTAATAAAAAAGC